GGGATGTCAGGTCGTGGAAATTGAGCATTTTTGACAGCCTCCCTATTTCACTTCTAATTAAAAAACTAAAACCGCACAGGCCCAGTTGCTATGCATATGGTCAGGAGGCTATGATAAGCACCGATTAGAAGGGTACTGCGGCAATGATTGATGACACTTGCACAATCCTGTCGTGCGAGGATTATATCGGTAGAAGGCCATCGTGCTTCATCCACGTGCAAAGTACTGAATGAAGGATCGAAATGAGTACATGACGATTGCAAGTGATTTTTTGCAGTACATACCACTGTGCGATCAGTGAGACATAAGTCACCTACTGGGTCCTCTGTCGTTGGTTCCTCATTTTCAAGTTACTCACGTCATCGGCAGGGTGACAGCACTAGTGAAACCGTGGCAGGTTGATTGATTTATTGGAGTTGTTATTTCGGTTCAAGTTTCTGACTAGTTGCAATTAGACACGAGCTATAAAGCTCCTGGTCGTCTAGATTACAAGTAAGAGCCCTTCGAATAATTCCAGGTCCTTGACACGACACTTTGATCAAAACATTTTCGACTTTTTGAACGTATTCGGAAACTCTACAGCTCTTCATTCTGCAGATACCCAGTTCTACATTCCAATGGCCACGTAAAAGATTGTGTTCACCTTGATTATTCATACCTTGGTCAAAAACCTTACCGAATAGCCGACTGCCGAAGCAAGCTCACGTTTATCTGCCAGAAACGTAGTGGTCAGTGACTTTGACATTTTGAAAAACCTTTGCCTTGTTTGCATCGAGCTCGACACTCGCCTCGAGGTTCTCAAGTGATGACCCCCTCGGTGACCTAGTCCGTTTTTTCGGTGTCTGGAGTGTTCTGGAACCTTTTAACGAAATTTTTTGATTTGACTTTTTTTGATTTTTGATTTTGATAACTAGCGCCTTGAAAGTCAATGAAGGAAAGTGATTTTTTTTTGCCCTCCTTCCCCCTGTATTGCTGAACAATTTCAGTTTCCTCCTGATATATTTACCAGGATATCAGAACCAGGTATGTCCTCTGCTCGGAGACACGGAAGTATAGATGCGCTTGCTTTATTCGATATGAAAAGTAGTTCAAGATGCGAAGCATCCTTGTTGTTCCTATGATAATCCCGCTTGTACGTAATCTCCATTGCTGCCTGTTGTAGCCAATAGCCGTTGCGGTCTCGAATGCCCGTCTTCGTCGGATGTCCATCAGATATTCCGACCTGTGTGGGTGTAGTGCGACACTTGGTGAGGACGTTAAAAAGCTTGTTCATTTCATGTTGCGTTGATATAATAGTACACCGTGAATTTCAACAGGCCCGGCGAATTAGATGAACGACTATCAGAAAGCTGAAGTTGGATATCTTCACCTCTCATATCAGAGCATTTATTTATTTATTAATTTATTTACCAAGCGGTTTCTCTGGCTGACGCCGGCGCGCCTTCTTCTGAGATACAGCACGGCTTCGTCGAGCGGGCGCGGCTCCGCCGCGCTTACCTTCTTCCACACATTTCAATATCCCCTAGTATCTGGCTTTTCTTTTATCTAAGCAGATGGTCAATAATCTTTACGAATAGCATCATACCTGCTATTTTCAACACTATTGAAGTGCATGGAATGGTGGTAAGGGGCGCTGAACAAGCGAACAGATAGGTCAGGTAATAGTCGAGCAGTTGATCATGCGAAAGCAGGTAGGAGCGATGGAGCCCCGCCTTGCGAAGAAAGGCCGTATCACAGAGGAGGTCTGTAGCATCTGGAGCGCCTTGGAAACGCTTTCTGGGACTTACTCCGCCCACCTCGACGCATGCTCCACGCTCCACCCACAACGGGTATGTCTCACACTTGTGAACCAGTAACCTCTCGATGACCTTAACCTACTTCTCCTCGATTCTGGAGCGCTCTGGGACCGTGTTACGAATTTTTTGAAACTTGACTCCACGCGGCACGCTTCGCCCTCGACACTCGCCTCGAACTTCTCAAATGATGATCCCCTCGGTGACCTAGTCCGTTTTTTCGGTGTCTGGAGCGTTGTGGAACCTTTTAACGAAATTTTTTGATTTGACATTACCCCCCCCCCCGGAGCATGCTCTGCACACAACGTATGTTTCGCGCTTCTCAACTGAAGCCCCCTAATTTAAACTTTAAACTGATTTTTTAACATTTAAACTAATTTTTCCCGGTGTCTGGAGTGCTGTGGAACAGTTTTGCAAATTTTTCTCTTCAAGTTTGGCTCTGCCCACCTTGGCGCACTCTACCGCCCACAACGAGAGTGTCTCGCACATTCCAACAAGTGGCCACTTGGAGACCACATTTTTGTGCAGTCTGTAGTGCTTTGGAACCAATCTACGATTTTTTTAAAGTGGTACCTCATGTTCAAATGCACCCCTCGCCCACTGTGAGGGGCTTACCATGGGTCACGGGTGCTATAACGGTATTGTCCCATGTCCTACTCATCCCCACCATGACCCGACCCTCCAAGTCTTTCTTCACATGCTATGAATTCCGTAACAAACAGACACACACGCAGCACGGACAGCCAACTATACACTTCTTCTTCTTGTTCTTCAGCGTTTGTCCCGCTCTGTAGCGGGGTCCGCTCTCCTGATTTTGTTACGCCATTTATCCCGGTCGAATGCCTGATCAGGGTGAGCACCAACTATCTTTAAATCCGCGTGCAGCGTGTCAAGCCAACGTTGCCTGGGGCGTCCTCTCGGTCGTTTGCCGAGCACCTCGAGCTGGAGACCAGTTTTGCAGACGGTGTCCGCCTTCGCGCGAAGTACGTGGCCATACCATCGGAGACGAGATTCTCGCATTTTATCAACTATGGAAGCTACGCCGAATTTCTTGCGTATGTCATCGTTGCAAATCCGATCCATACGGGTGACACCGGCCGTCCAACGTAGCATTTTCATCTCCATCACACTAAGGCGGGCTTCGACTTCCTTGGTTGCAGGCCAGCACTCAGCCCCGTACAACGCTACTGGTCTGACCACAGTTCTATAAATCTTGATTTGAGGTGCTCCGGTATGGTCTTGTCACACAGAACTCCAGTCATCGAGCGCCATTTCGCCCATGCTGCACTCACACGAGAGTTCACCTCTGAGGTCAGACTGCCATCGGACACAATTTCTGATCCAAATAGAAATACTAAAACTAACTAGAAATACTAAAATACTTGAAGCCTCTTGCGCGTGTGTTCTCGACACTGATCTTGATGGAATTGGTCTCTGTTGTATCGATCGTCAAGTACTCGGTTTTCTTGATGTTGTCTGAACTTTGTCAGGCGATCAGAACAACCTTGAACCTGTTGCTCGAAGTCGCTCTTATCTTCCTGACCAGCACCACAAGATTGCATCCAAGACGACCACGAAAAGGAGTGGGGAGAGCGCTGAGCCTTGATGTACCCCGACCGTGATGGGAAATTCCTGCGAAGTGCCTGCTGGTGCATGCACGCGGCTCTTTGAGCTGGAGTACAGGATGCGCACCCACTCAATAAGCTCTTCGGGAACGCCGTGTTGCCGCAAGGCGTATAGTCACGCGGAACACAATTGTCTGACTTTTCTAGGTCCAAAGAAAAGCTAGATGCAGTGGTACTTGCTTCTCACGATGTCTCTCCAGCAGAAGACGCGCGGCATGTATGGCGTCGATGGTGCTACAGCCTGCCACAAAGCCGCACTGATTGATAGAAAGCTGGACGATTTCGCGAATACGACTGTCAACAATACGCTCAAAGATCTTCATACTGTGTGACAGCAGGCGAATTGGACGGTAGTTCGAGCAGTCCGCAGGGCTGCCCTTCTTCTTCCAAATCGGAATCGTCGTGCTCTCTTGCCAGTCCTTGGGCGTCTTCTTCTCAGCAACGACCTGATTGAAGAAATCCGTCAACCATTGTGCAGGGTACCAGCACCGTGCCTTCCACAAGTCGGCTGCCACGTCGTCAGGTCCTGTTGCTTTGCCTGACTTCATCTTTCTGAGAGCCGCCTCCGTCTCTTTCATCTTCTGAACGGGACCGGGTATACTGGGGAGACGAAGGGATGGCCGGGTGCGCATACTCTACGGTTGAAATATTCTCAAAGAAGTCGTGCCATCGCCTCAGCACCCTCTTTCGGTCCATCAAAAGGCGGCCATGCTCGTCGTTGAACGCCAGGAATTTCTCGATATCTTCGGTCTGACGATGCCGAGCCTTGGCAAGTCGGTAGAGGTGCCGCTCTCCATCACGTGAATCTAGTTCCTTACTGACATCTTTGAAGTGGGCGGCCTTCGCTGCAGCCACAGC